CATGACTGGCCCCTGTCCACCTCTCCAGATGCTCATCTCTCTCCTCCTCATTCTAAGTGTCTCAGGTCTTTCTCTTCCTTGCAAAGTTTCAGCCTTAGGACTTTGCGCTTGTTTTTCTGTGCCAGGTGTATTACGTAGATTCTGTCTAGCACTTTTATAAAAGCGCAAATTATTAATGTACAGATGTCTTAGTTATCTAGTGCTGCTATAACAGAGATACCACAAGTGGTATGTCTTTAACAAAGAGAAATTTATTCTCTCACAGTCTAGAGGCTAGAAGTCTGAATTCAGGTTGCCAGGTCCAAGAGAAGGCTTCTTCTCTGTGTTGGCTCTGGGGGAAGGTCCTTGTCATCAATCTGGTCTAGGAGCTTCTCAGTGCAGTGACCCCAGGTCCACAGAACACACTCCCCTTCTGGTTCTTCATTTTTGGTGGCATGAGGTCCCCCTGTCTCTCTGCTCAATTCTCTCTTTTATATCTCAAATGTGAATGACTCAAGATACAACCTAATCTTGTAGATTGAGTCCTTCCTCATTAAGGTCACTGCCTCTAATCCTGCCTCATTAACATCATAGAGGTAGGATTTACAACATATAGGAGAATCACATCAGATGACAAAACGGTGGACAATCACACAATACTGGGAACCATGGCCTAGTCAAGCTGACACACATTTTTGGGGGACACAATTCAATCCATAAGATTAGATACGAATTTCAAGAGAGATGATCAAAACTCATTCATAATAAACAGGAACATGCTGGCTTTTCAGGGTGATTTCACAGCCTTCTTACTTTAAAAAGTAACTTCCATCCCCTTAAACTCCACCATTAGTCATTCCCAATAACAATCACAGTCCGCTTCACGCATCTTTTTAAATGCAAATAACTCATGATGGGCAACACTACAGCCTTCAATTTTCCACATGAATTACTTTTTCATATTTGTCCTCAATCATAAGATTATGGAATTGGGAGTGCACAGCGCATCCAATATGGAGAAAGCACAACCTGGGGTCTTGCCAGGATGTACAAAAAGATGGAAAAGAGAAGGTGGAAGACTCCAAAAAAACCAACTGTTTCCTGTGATTCCGAGGGTTCTATTGCAGCGTGTACGAGGTTCTGTAGAGAAATAGCTTGGGTGTTTTTCAGTAACTACCTCCAGTGAAAAGGAGCAAATGAACTATTACAAGTTAAAATGTCTATCAAAGAAAAATACTTCATTATTTTAATAATGAAAATTTATAAATTAGGTATATATCAAAACAATAATTCATAGTCATTGTCTTAGAACAGTGCCTTTAAGAAGATTACTTCAAAGGCACACATTCAAGTCAGAAAAGCTATTTCTGCGTAACATCTCCATTACTAAACATAATGTTTATTATCTCACAGGGTCCTTATTTACAGCAAAAATTTTCTGTAAGGATCTAATGAGACAGTGGATGTGAAAATGCTTTGTAAAGTATAAAATACTTTTTCAAGGTATAAACTGCGGCAGAATAAAACAAAGTTTGGAATTAAGCAAATGGAAGTTCAAAGACCCAAACCTGAGATCTTCATTGGCTTGGTGTATCAGTGGCTAGCCCACGGTTGCAGCCGATGAATGCTTGCTAGAGAGAACTTACAAAATCAGCTCAGAAGTTCTACGGACAAATGTGGTCCAAGGATATTTCTGTCTAAAACAATTTTTACACTGTGTTAAGAAATTAATCTGAGAATTTAAGGAGAAAAAAGATAATGATTTTCAAAATAATTACTTTTGTATAGTCTCAGGAGGATACTGTAATGTACTAGAATACAAGTGAAAACAAAACAAACCTTCATTCTAGATCTGGTTCTTCGGACGTAGCTTTCTTAGACGTAAACTGAGAGGCACTGGATCTCACTGACTACGTATGTGTTTCATTATGATTCCATCACTGGACTCTGTGCTCATGCCAATAAAACACATTTTATCGATTCACTGCTTACTGAAATCCATATGAGAAAGCAAAACTCAATTGT